GTGGCGGGGAAGTATAAGCCTCGGCTTAATGGAGCATCCACATATAACGGGGCAAAATGTGACTTTCTAAATTGCTCGAAAATTTTACACTTTACCTTAATAATGATAGTGTCAGTCACTGTTAAATTACTCTAATCGCCTTATACGGCCGGCGATAAACAATCCTCACATACATTACATCCGTGAGATTTGACTGCTTTGTTGACTCGCCATCATGTTATATTAAAATTAAAGCATTTCACTCGGTAGGATGCGGGAGCTTAAATTCAAGGAAAAAAGTGAAAATAGTAGTCGTGATCGCGATTATACAGAGGACACCACAATACGAGAGATAGAAGCAACACCGATACAAATATATTTGCGTTCGTGTATAATGTCGGCATAATCACGCCACACATAAACCACGTCAAATTAAAAACCGTATACCATTAATAATAATATTAACATACGAGTGGGGAGGTGACAGGTATGTTGTGACCTAGTTTCTACGCATGATTATTAAACCTAAATGCTGCCAATTCCGAGCAGTTGATTGCTATTTACATACTTTGATTGATGTCTACCGGACTTATGAGTAGGGGCCTACAAACTTGGCCCCGTGAGTAGTTACTCCGTGATAATATACATTGAATTTTGTAGAGTGAATAGCCGAGATCATGTCAGAGTTCCATTCAATGAATAAACTTTAGATTGCCATAGCACATCGCGCGTATGTGGGATTGGCTCGAATATTTTAGAGCTACTTCACTTGGATATAATTATAAAATGAATTGAGAGAACGATATGTGGAGGCTTCCGAGCTGGAATGGCGCCTGGGAAAAAGCTGGTGCCCCTATAGGCCAGGGTAGCAAAGCATATGGTTACAGGCCCTGACATCTGTGCTGTTTCACTGGGTTGCCATTTCGCAGCAACAATTCCTTATAGCAACAAATCGCAAATAGCGTAGTCGGCCTGATTGAAATGCACTGCCACAACATTAGCTACATAACCATACCTATATAACCATAGTGTTGGAAATCTACGATTTAACTAATGATCTTGATCTGCGTAGCTCGAGTGTCTGCACGATAGCAGAGCACGCATATCATATGATCAGAATTAAGTAGATAATAGGGATTATCTTCCCTATTATCTTCCCTATTATCCTACTATTCCCTACTATTCCCTATTATCTAGGCCTACTTCTGATATGATATATACGGGCTCTGACGATATAACGAGTCAATGTCTGCATACTTGCATCACTGCGACATCTAGCGAAAGAATGTGTAAGATATTGTACAAATGCTGCCGATCAATAGAGCGTGTCTCTTGAGTCTCGTAAGTCTCACGCTAAAACCAAATCACAATCAGCGTAGAAAAGCAGGCATTTTCATTTGATTTTTCTTAAAATGAATACGAGATAATGTTTCGTTTCATTGATGTAAGCAATAATGCGTATATAATATTGCATTTCAAGGCGAAAAAAAAGCACAATCCTCACAATATAGAGCTGCAGAAGGAGTATTGTTTGACATATCAAAGCTGCATGGAATCGAGCGTCAGGAAGTGTCCAAATCAATGTTCATCAGTATATAGTATGACTATTGACGCGTCTTGAAAGATGGCGCGGCGTTCGTGGTGGTATGAGCTCTATAGACTTGTCAATGTTCATTTTGTACAGATGTGAGAACAGCAAAGAAGTTTATGTGTCAATAATTTTGTGAAGCCGCTTTATCAAACGATTCCATTGCTTACCATTTACATTCCCTAATTAGCACTAAGGCACATCTATATATAACACTAATTATGGATCCTGAATCACGTTTTGATGATTTAAACTATAAAAGATTTCGTACATATGTGTCGCATCCTACCTACTATTTACATACGCCACAGGTGTATTACTATGTTACACATGTCACCAACACTTTCTCTAATCTACTTATTGTTAAAAAATTAGTTATGCAATAATGTGATTTATAGCTGCGTAACTATCCAGCGATAAATCTCACATGACGCACTCAACCGACAAGTAAAGAAGTGTAAAAACAGAGCAGTCGTGCAATCTTGTCTCTCTGCTCACTCGCTTCATTAGACACACTCGGATTTCCCGCGAGATCGTTATTTACACGCTCGTCACGTTTGTTACTGTAGGTACTGTGTGCGCGTAATTTTAGTTCGACCGCCAGCGCCTCATTCTGTCCGTTTCGTTCTTCGCATAGTCATTTGCGGTCAGAAAAAGATCGCATGTGTTAGCCTGCATGTACCCATTTGTAGCACCCAATTATGTGATCTATGTATGTGAAATATATGATATAATTATGCGATCTATGTATATCGAACCATTGTATTAATTACTACTATTTTGTGCCTTTGTGTGTGAAAGTGAGTGAGTTTGTGTATGTGTGCTCGTGTGTGTGCGTGCGTGGACTCGTGTGTCGTAGTACAACCTACAACGTAACAACGGATTCGATCACGTGTTTTTACCATCACATGTTTTTTACGGTCTTATGAGAGCATTCAGCTAAGTACTGAGCAATCCGTCACCGTTTTTAGTTTATATTGACAACAGGTGGCGGGGAAGTATACGCTTCGGCTTAATGGAGCATCCACGTATAACGTGGCAAAATGTGACTTTCTAAATTGCTCGAGAATTTTACACTTTACCTTAATAATGATAGTGTCAGTCACTGTTAAATTACTCTAATCGCCTTATACTGCCGGTGATAAACAATCCTCACATACATTACATCTGTGAGATTTGACTGCTTTGTTGACTCGCCATCATGGTATATTAAAATTAAAGCATTTCACTCGGTAGGATGCGGGAGCTTAAATTCAAGGGGAAAAAGTGAAAATAGTAGTCGTGATCGCGATTATACAGAAGACACCACAATACGAGGGATAGAAGCAACACCGATGCAAATATATTTGCTTTTGAGTATAATGTCGGCATAATCACGCCACACATAAACCACGACGTAGTCAAATTAAAAACCGTATACCATTAATAATTAACATGCGAGTGGGGAGGCGACAGGTATGTTGTGACCTAGTTTCTAAGCATGATTATCAAACCTAAATGCTGCCAATACCGAGCAGTTGATTGCTATTTACATACTTTGATTGATGTCTACAGGACTTATAATGAGTACAAACTTGGCCCCGTGAGAATAATAATACATTGAATTTTGTAGGGTGGAAAGCCGAGATCATGTCAGAGTTCCATACAATGAATAAAATTTAGATCGCCATAGCACATCGCGCGTATGTGAGATTGGCTCGAATATTTTAGAGCTACTTCACTTGGATAATTATAAAATGAATTGAGAGAGCGATATGTGTGAGTATCGTATTTCAAGCGTGGACGCAACACGGAATCTCGCGATTCGGCGTTAGATCTAACGAGCCCAGCAGCTTCGGCCGCACAGTCAATTAGCAATTTTCAATTCAATTTTCCAGCGCCGACAATTCACTGCTGCGAAATGACGCAATTTTCGAACACCTTTTATGTAGGGTTTATTCAGGCGTTGTTCGAACACGCTTCGTGCTGGTGTAAAATTCGATGCGGACATATGTACATTACATATATGCTTAAAGTCGCTAACAAGATTTCAGCCATCATTTATTACGCAAACCGAAATAAAAAAATAAACACGCACGCGCTATTATCACTCAAATATGTACGGCGGCACACATAAGCCTGCGAACACGTCAAAAATTATGTTAAATTATTATTTAAACTTACAGCAACTAACGTAGCAGATAATAAATCTTTTGTTGTGGTTCTAAAACATCAGAATATCGTCCTATCAATGTTTTCTATTTGTTAATAACATACATAATTGATGACCATTCAAACGTTATCTTAATAATAATATCCTGACAGAATACGTCCTGCGTCATTGTTTCGGCATTATGTTTTTATTAGAATAATGACATGCAAAACGTACATTTAATATATGCAAAATATTTAACACAATATACATCATGCTCAGCTTAGGCTTGCCGCGTTCACTACAATAGAAACAATACGTTAGCTAGCGGCATTTAAGCGCGTATCGATTATTATATTAGCACTCGTCTGGCGAAAATATGAAAAATGATACCGCTATAGCTGAGGCAGTCATGCCAGAATGGCTGCTGCGGGGGGAATTGCTTCGGCTTCTGTCTGCTCCTCTGTTTCCGGTTCCGTCATGGCAGGTAAAGAATCGGGACTCGCTCCGCGCGTGACAACGATGCGAAGCTGATCGGCATATTCGAGTATCTTTATCAGCTTCTGGCGTCCGTAGCTGGCGGGATTCTTCAGTTCGATTCCCTCCGGCAGTCCGTACATGAGCACGCTGCCCTCGGTGATCTTCTTGTAGGACAGCGACGTCTTGCGGCCGATCGCCTGGCTGTATTTCAGGTTGAACAGGTCTCTGACCTTCTCCCGTAGATTCGCCGGTCCGGTCTCTCCCTTCGGTAGACTGGCCTCCCTGCTGCGCGGCTTACCTGCCGAGAGTTGATACCCACTGCCGATGTAGCGCATGAATTGCGTCTGGATGGATTCGTGGATGACGAAGCGCTGCGTCAGACTATCGCCAGCGCCGCAGACGACCGGCGCGCCGGTCTGCGTGTCGATTCCAATGGCGGCGATGTCGATGCCGATGCCACATAGCGTCGTGCAGATGGATGTGATCGCCTTAAGCTGTTTTGTGATGAACTTGTGTCGGTTCTTCGCCGGCATGTCGGCAGGGTCTTGATTGGCGCGCAACTCCTGCGCCCGCTGCTTGTACGAGGCCTTGTCCTCGATTGTCAGCTGACCCCACAGGTTGCTGACCTCCTTAATGTTGCTGATAACGCCCGTCGGCGAATGCTCCTGGTGCTCCTTACAGAAGAGGTTGAACGCGCTCGGTCCCTTGCTGTAGCCGGTGAGTGAACCGCGCCGGTACACGCGCTTACGCTTAGCCTTTCCCACTTCGTTGGCTGCTTCCGCTAGCTGGTCGGGCAGGCAGCCTTCCGGGGTGAACACAGGTGTGCTGTGAATACGGTGCGCGTAGGTAAGGTCGGCATCGGTCGGCATCGCGCTGCTGACGGGAGCGCTCGGGGCGGTGCGACCGGGAGTGACGCACGGCGCCATGTTCGCGACGCTTGTCGGCTGGAAGGTCGGCTGTCGCAGCGTTAGATCCAGGGCGCCGTCGTGCTGCGCCGACTCGCCGCGCGCGTACAACTGCGGACGCTGGCTTCTCTGCGGCTCGGGATACGACACGCGGGCAGGCGGCTGCTGCACGGCGCGGGCCGTCGCCGTCTCCTCGCTCGCCGCCCGCCCGTACGCCGCGTGGAATCCCGCCGCGCCAGACGTCGTGTTGCGCGGGTAGACGATCTCGCCCTCCTCGATCTCGCGCTGCGCCGGAGGAGCGACGACTCGCATCCGCTTAGCCTGTGTCGAGACGTCGAGCGGACCGCGCTTGCGGGCCTGCTGCTGCTGCTGCTGCTGCGGTGGTGTCTGATGCTTGGCCCTCACCAGCTGGTAAAGACTGATCAGCTCGTCCCTTGTCGGCGTGTAGGTGGCGCGTGGCGACTCGGCGTCACGAGCGAGCATCCGCGAGCCGTTCGTAGCGTGGATTGTCTGTTCGGCTTGAGCGCGCGACGCACCGTGGCTCCCGTCAGCCTCGGCGACGCCCGTAGTCACGGCGACGCTGCTGCCGTTTTCCGTCTTCGCGATGGGGTTTTGCGACGCTGCCATCTCCTTCTCGTCGCAACGCGTCTCGGCGGCTGTGCCTGATACGTTGCAGCCGTCCGTACCTGGCGATGTCCCGCCGTTGGCGTCTGTAGCGGACGAGTACGAATCCTTACCTGTGTCACGTAGCGTTGCGTTCTCGTCCGGACACGGATTGCGCTCGGACTCCGTCGCTGATATGGTAGCTGTTGGCGACTTGTAGTCTTTCTTTTCTGCATCGCGATGAACATCTTTGCCGACGACTGGCGGCGCATTCTCCGTATCGGCGGCTGGTGGCGTGTTTTCTGTTCTATTTTCCAGATGCATGATCATAACGTCTCTTTTCCTCAGTCTGTCTGTCTCTCGTTCTCTCAGTTCACCAGTAACTGATTACTAAACAGGATACAGCGTTCGTCCACTGTTATCCTGCAGTGTCTATGTGTATATGTGCTGCTGTAGTCGTACTGACACAAGCGACTTATTACTTTTACTATGATGCGTATAACAGCCACGTATCTTGTACCGGCCTCACCGGACAGCGCATTTGAAGTGACGGTCCAGCACGACCGTTACGAACGAACAACCAAGTTACGGTTAGGAGAGATATTGTTAAGACAACAGCACGCACTAGCAAGCCTGTTGTTATATCGGGTGATATCTCGCGCGTTGGCTACAAAACCAGCTCGGCCGTCGCGGGAGCGGCGACTTTGGCCATTATCGCCGTACAAACAATGGCGCACTGTTACTTAATCTGCCAGTGTGTTCGTGGTTAGGCAAGCGCGCAGAAAGAACAGGAGAAAGGTGACTAATTGTGACTGATAATGTATGCGTAACTCGTTGTCGTTTAGGGACCAAAGACACAATGAACACGTCAGTTGTGTCAGCTAAGTGTAAGTTGTATCTAGCTTGCAACGAACCTAGCGCCGGGATGCTTCTAACACGTAGCGTAAGGTTGGCATGGGAACAATGAATGCTGAATTTTCTTCATATTTCTTTGTCGTTTCCATAACACGCGATGTGTTACTTACAGTGTTATCAGTAAGTAACTAATTGACTTATGCGTAATATGCGTGATGAAATGTCATTACCTGAAATTGTCACTTATCGATTTCTTCTAATTAATTTTATTAATATTTATTAAACAGAGTTAGCTGTATCAGGGTATACAAAATTTAAATTACATCAAGCACTCAAGTTTTATCGTTGACGGCGTCGATGTACTCTAACACACTTAACACGCACGTTCGAATATTCGTGATAATAAACTTGATACAACACGTAATTCGACGTAATTCGACACACCAACCGGGCGGCAGTGGCCTTGGCAAATCTTTAGAGCCGGGCACGATTTCATGAATCACTTGTTTCGTGTCTCAGTAATGATAAGGCAATACTTCGTTGAGTCAAAAAATAAGAAATTTCCCACGGTTGGGGTATAGAGTTTGACGAGATACTTTTATTCTGTTATTTATCGCGTTAAATTAAGCGTTAGTCGATTAACTAAAGTCAATACATCTATACTATAGTTATAAGGTCACATAAACATCTCACCAGCGTTATAAACAATAACGTCAGTGTAACTCGTTGAAACTGTGAAGATACATACAGCGGATGGTGTGTAAAATTGACCTTTCTATCCAGACGTTTGTCTAATAGCGTTTACCTGGTTATACCTGTAGCTTGAACACAGCGACTTACGTAGCGCCGCCCCGATGTAATGTGCGTGCTGTATATATGTGTGTTGTCCCTACCAAGATCTATTCGCAATTTAAACACAGGTGCCTGAGAACCAAGGCATTCAAATAACCCGCGTTTGATACAATTTTGCACCCAACATTAATGCATTCGTTTCAATTGCGTATAGAATTACTAGGACAACTTTCGAGCTCAAACATGCCGTTTATATATGTGTCCTAATTGATGATGTGATATGTTTCAGGAAGGCTCACACCTGCGTCGTGCGTGGCCTCTAATCAATACACGTTTACTGCCAAAACATTTTAACCAAACGTGTAAAACCGGTCAATAATATATCGTGTAATATTTCCGTTTTTTTTTTTCATTAGCACAAGCACGCCTGCTCAAGAATCTTAAAACCACAAGCTCGCGTAATGCGCTCGAACGATCATTAAAATGCAAAGCAGTTACCTGCTAGTTAATATGCCCCGGAGAGCTTTTGTAATTGTTACGTGCTAGGCCGAGATATTATTTCGTTCATTATTCAGACGTTGAATTTTAAATGGAGTTGACAGCTTTCTTAGACTGCTGCGCTGTTCGTCGCTTCTTCCATGCGCACTGCGCTTGTCTGTGTCGCTATCGCGCGACGAGTAATTTTATAAACTTTTTAACGCGTTTCCCCGCACACGGGGGATAACGAGACGAGGGACGCGGCATCTCCCGTTCGTATGTAAAATTATCGGCGCTCTCAAACGCAGCGTGAAATAGAAATGAACACGACGGTAGTCTTAGTGCTGACGACCATATGTAATTAAAACCCAAGCGTGCTAATTACGACAAATTCTATCGGAACGCTTCACTGGTCACTTTAGACTTAAGTATATAGTGGATAGACTGGATTACATACTATCAAGAGTTCATAATAGAAAAACAGTCTAAAAATGTATATTATGGACTCTTGATACTATATACACACAGTGAACCGCACATAGCGACTAAATAATGCCGGCTTTCCTCATGCGACTGCGATACGTAATCGTAAACCAATCTTATTACCATGCTCATTGAATATTCTTCGGTGTCGATTAGGAACCCTAATACCCCCTTCCCTTACACGGATTTTTCTTACGAGTCTTTGCGGATCGCCAACTCGTAGTCAATCGCAAGCATCCGTAAATAACTCGCTGGTATCCGTATTAATTCGTCACAACTCGCGGACACTCGTATCCGGGAAAGGAGAGGCAAATTATTTGGCATGTCAAAAATTTTCTCACGAGTGTCCACGGATTGATTTTTTCCGTAAATAACTCGTAACAATCCGTAAGTATCGTAAACCGCTCGCAACAACACGCATCCGTAAACTGCTCGCAATAATCCGTAAATGACTCGTAACAATTGTACGATTGTAACGAATTGTTACGAGTTATTACGAGCACTTTACGAATAGATACGTATACTTCATACGTATTGTTTAATTACGATTTGGGAAAGGCTACAAAATCAAACACGTCATTTTCAGTTGTTATCAAGAAGTCAAAGAAGTCACATCTCTGCATATCTACTCCAGGGGCGGCGCCAAGGTATTTTCTTAGGGGGGGGGGGCGAAACCAGGGGCGTGTAGAGGAGCACGCGGGGGAAGGAGGAAATTTTTGAAATTAGACCCCCTCAGATGCGTTTTCTGCGCGAGTAGGGGGGGGTCTGGACCCCCTG